AAAAATCTCAATTTGTACTCTCAAATATAGAAATTTATATCAATGTGCACCTAAAACTAATTTCTGTCAATTTGCTGTTTGAAACTAAATTGATAAATTAGACCTAAATCCCCTATACTTGTCATTTAATCATTTAGACCCCTTCAAAAAATAAAAAGTAATATAAAATTATAATTTTTTATTACGATAAAATCATATTTTTAACGGTTATAAAATCCTAATAAAATACTCTAAATCTAAAATGTCCCCCAAATTGGGTATTCAAATAATTATATTTAAGTGATATATTGCATTGGATATAAAAAATATTATATAAATACCTACATTCTATTGAACATTTAAGTGGTAAGCTTGACTTTGAACTTTAGAGTATATTAAACCCACAAAATAAAAGGTAATATAAAATTATAATTTTTTTGTAAACCCCCACACTCTTATCTTTATATAACAAGTAATTATTTTTGAAATGCTAATATAGGTGATGAGGTATGCATGAACCCTATAGATTTCAATAATATGAATAAATACTATGGATGCAAATTAATAGTGAAATTTAATTTTTGGAGGTGTTTAAGGTTGATAATGGTAACTAAGTAAAAATATAAATTTTTTTAGATTAAAATAATATTATCATTGAACCTGGAGAGATTTGAAAAAAAAATTGGAATAGCCTTTTAGCACTTATAGCGGTTCGAAAGAATAAAATAGTATTTTTCATGTTTCAAGTGTAAATTTATTTTAGTTTTGAGATAACTCATAAAAATAAATGTTTTTAGGTTAAAATAACATTAAAAATGAATCCGGAACGTCGAAAAACCTTAGGGTAGTCATATGGATCAAATTGTAGATTCTTAGTGGTAAAATCATAATTTTGGAGAAAACCAAATCAGCCTGTGAACAGTAAAAATCGGGGTTGTTGTATTTAAAAACTCATTTTCATCCCATTTATTCCCATTATTTTCATTTCATTCTCACCCCCACACCTCTTGGAATCTTAGAGGAAAATTAAGGAAGAAAGAAAAGGGAAGAAGGAGGCCACTAGAGCTTGGGTTCTTACTTGAAAATTTGATTCAAGTAAGAGTTTTGTTTCATTTTCTTACATTGAGGCTAGAGTTATACATATATGTTTTATTTGACTCTACATCATATTAATATGCTATGAAATCATTGATTTTTGATATTTTTGTANAGTTCGAAATGAAGACTTGTTTAATGAGATAATCTATTCTCTGTGTTTCCTTCTTTTCCTAAAAAACACTCGAAATCAACATGGCCCTGTTTTTTGTTTTTGTGTTTCAAATCTCACTTTTTTTCAAAAAATTGAGAATAAAAATACTAAATAAATAGGTTTTCGATATTTTTTAAATTTTGAAAACAAAAAATAATTTTCGGAAACAAAATCCAACGTGCCCCCAAAATTTTGTTTTGTTTCACCCAAGGGTAATATTGTCTTCCGAAAAAGTTATTGTCTGGTAGCAGTCAAGGACTCATCAGTCATCACTGTGAAAAATGCTGTCACTATAGTTGTTGCTGTCTGGTCCTAAAGTAAAAAGCTGCTTTTTCGTGACTTCATGCTATGAATTGTGGTGGGCATGGCCATACTTCACTTTTGTTTTACTACCAAATTGACTTATTAATAATTAATATGAAATAGAGTNGGTAACCATAAAAATTATTTTCTTATATTAAAAACCCTAAATTTCAAGAGAAATGAGTTTTTCTCTTGATTTCAAAATTTTAGTGTTTCGTATTGAACAACACAATGGTATTTATGTTGATCTTTTGTTAATTTTTCTTAAATTGTTCCAATGTGAAATAAATGTGGATTTGGATGTGAAAAATTAGAGATTTATGGAATTGAGTATGTTTGAGAAATTGTTGGTGATTGTATGTCATGGAGATATTTGGATAACCATGGGTGGCCATTGATCGGGTATCGTAGAGTGGGTAGATGTGTGNTTTCTCCTACAACTTTTTTTCTTTGAATATGTTAATTGTAAATTATATCTTGAAAGATCATTCGAACCTCAATTTTTACTTCCAAAAATCAAAAATTTTAATTCGCACCTTCAAATATATAAATTTGTATCAATGTGTAGTCTCAAAGACAAAAAATTTTAATTTATACCCTCAAAGATAGAAATTTGTATCAATGTTTACCCCCAAAGATAAAAAATCTCAATTTGTACTCTCAAATATAGAAATTTATATCAATGTGCACCTAAAACNGTTCTTACTTCGTGTGGGTTTGAACTTTTTCTACCACTCGTAGTGGGGTTGGTGTCTTGCGAGGACCAAACCACTATTACCTCACGGGTATCGTGTCAGAGGATTAGTATACTGTGCTTGGGTCGGATTCGTTATTGCCGGTGCATTGGTATGGGACAATGCATCGGTAGGCGCCCTTCTCGAAGTTGATATTCTTGTGAGAAATTGTGTGTGTGGGCCAGGATATATTCTCTATGTGTTTATTCATGTGTTTATCTTACATCAGACTTGAGATACATTGTGGTTATTGTTTATTGCATTATCTTTTGGATATGATTATCTTGAAAATTGTTGTGGGAATAATTACTCTTTGGAATGGTTATTTATGGTGGGATTGGTTTTACTCTT